TGCATTAAGTGGTCTGGTAAATCCATCAGGACCATCTACATTAAAAATAGAGCCACTTAGGGTGCTGGAAGGTGCTCTGGATAAAATTGCGTCATGTGACAGGTATGATGATGTTAGTTTGTAGTAGTAGATAAGTATTAGCAGTAATACTATCATTTTCATTTTAACAAGTTACTTCGTCTAATGTTGAGCCTTGAATCTTTATATTTTTGCACTCTTCAAACAAGTCCAGTTGCATTAAAACTAGGTGAAATCATGTCATATTGAATATTGTTAAAGCGGAAGTTGAGGTAGCAGTAGTACTAATAGTAATAATAACACTAAATGGCAGTGTAGTCAAAGTTTAAGTGGTTGTAATCACAGTAGTCATTGTAAGACTAGTAGAAGCAAAGAAGAAATAATTGAAATGAAAAAGAAAAACACTTGTTTAATAGGCCTGTCAAAATCTGCCATCTGTGTTGGTGCATTACACCACAAGGTGGATAGAAGAGTACACCCACACACACACACATAAACATGTAGAACCGAGCTGGTATTTTCTGTGACATACTGCATTGAAGACAGAAACAGAGATAATTTGACACTGCTGAGTGCTGTGGAGTTGTCTGTGCACTCTTCCTATTTCTCTCACTCTCTCCATCTCCAGCTCCCGTATGTGTGGGAGACCTTTCTGTCTTTCAGAGAACACACCAGGCAGGCCCTCACAAACTATTCCGGAGACAAATTGTACAGGGCCTCTTACAGACAGAGAGAGGGAGAAATGTAAGGGGAGATAGGAGGAACTAAAATGGGGGTAAAAAAGCAGGGAGGGTGAATAGGGAAAAGTCCAAAACTTTAATAGATCTAAAACTTTGTTCCTCACCTCTCTGTCTACTCCATCATTTTTTGCTGTCTGGCCTCCACCCATCACCTCCTTTCACACTTCTTTATCGATATAATTGTACCCTCCCTACATCTCTTCCTCGCCCTCTCTGTCGCTCTTTCTCTCTCTTTATCAGAGAAACAGAATCAGGGTAGAATTAGCCTGGAGGCAGTCCTATTTAGCTCAGCTATTTTGTAATTCCTTTTTTCTGCAGCAAAAACGTCCTCTGCTTTTCCCTATAGGGACATACTCAAGGCCCCGGCGGCTCATTGATGGCATACACTGTGTATTTCGATGGGAATGTATATTTTCTAAAGAAGCTTATCTTGAGACAAGCACTGCTAATTAGTTTAAGCTATTAATGCTATGGAACAAGGCAATTTATTTAATGAATATTCTTTTTATGTATCTGTCCTCAATATTATGTTTGTTTTGCAATTTCTGTCAACAACACAACCATGGCTTCCTGTATGTCCACAGCAGCCATTTTCAATTCACATCACATTAAACATGTGAAACTGTATCTGGAAGACAAAGCACAACCCAGTATTTTCCAGTGTACTGTATAAAGCTTGGAAACCAATATATAGCACATACATTTTACATATTAAAAGATTCAACATAAAGACATGAGTATGTTTCAAATCTAGAAGGAAACTGGCTGAAATTTAGGGCAGTTGAGTTTAACCCAGTTTAGCTATTAGCAGAACCTAGCTAGTATAGATAACAGCTAACGCTGCTAAGCTAACATCTTCCCAAAATTTGATGCCAGACTTTGTCCTTTGATGTGTATAAGCAGGCAAATACTAAATTAAGTTAAATATAATTAAATTGCCTAACCAGACCATGCTAGTAGTTTTGCCTTTTATCCCATCAACTAGGGCCTACAACTTAAATAAAAGAAAAATAATTCCACAGGTTTTAGTCCATCTCATTAAAAGCAAGTTGTTGAGACTTGAAATGTGCTTGTGATAACCATGAGTAACAAGGGCTGGTATCATCACTATGTCTGTGTTTGAATGACAATTTAAAACTTAAAGAAATAATTAGCTTTAGACTTTTGGACAGTTTTAGGAAGTCTTTAGCAGTGATGTTACAGCATCTGTGATTTGTAGGCTAAAACACCCAAAAATACTGCCATTGTCCTTTTATATCACACATTAGGCTTTAGAAATGGCTGCCATTTTGAACCAGTAAAGATCATGTAAATAATTCACCAGAGGTGATTAAGAAGGGCAGTTAGAGATTAATTAAGAAACACTGTGTGGGAATCAAACATGTAGTTGACTGGTTACAAAACGCCCTCTCCCTTCATGTAGATGTAGCCATGGTTGAAATGCGTTTCACTTTTGGCAGGCAACTATAATAGTTTACAGTCACACTGCTCCACCTCTGGATCTTTTCCCTAGGAAACACACACATGTACACACGAGAATACACACAGTAACCAAGATAGCCGGAAGGACAGTCCATCATTTGATTTGTACAAAGTGTTATTAAAACCCACTTAGTCCTGGCTGTAAGAGCTACAAGCTATGGAAACTATGTAGTCTGCCACAGGCTGAAAGAGCCAGCCCTGCAGACATCTGCTTCAAATCTGACCAAAAACAGAAGAAAGGGAGAGGGTTATAGTCTACTGTTACTAAGACAGCATCTCTCCCATTCATTCATCATGAAAGTACACTTTGTTTTATGTCATTACAACACTTCTTCCTCACAAACAATCTGGACATTCAAACAAGCACTGTAAGCAAACCTTTGGTTTTCAAGGCAATCTACTGCAACTAACAACTGATGCCTGCCAGCAAAAAAGCTCTACATCTTGCCCCCACTGCATATCTAAACCAAGTCAAGACATGTTTATTTCTATTGTTCCATATCACATCTAATGTCGCAGTTCCCAACATGGCTCAAGCTTTCCAAGAACATAATGAAAACTCAGATCCCAAAGATCCTTTTGGAGAAAAGACAGATCCCCTTGAATGGTTTGGGGTGCAAAAACAGGCAAAAAAATGGGATCGTAGCCTAAAAATAGAGTCATAATAATCGAAGAAATAATGTCATAAATTCAATATTTAGAGTTCCAAAAAAAGTCTAATGAAATAAGTCTAATAATATAATAGCAATAAGTTGCCATGGTGTGGAAGAGTGAGTGAGAAGGTCAGTGGGTTAGCACTAGTGGAGACTTCAGTTTTAAAAGACATTTATTTAGACAGTATTCTGTAAAAATGAATTGGTCCAAAGGGTCCACGCTGATCTCCCACCCTGCTGACAACTCCCAAAAACTAGCACATGGTCCAAACAGTAAAAAGGCCAACTGCTGAAAGCTGTGAAGTTTATTGTATTCTCACTAAAGCTACAAGCCCAACAGGCCTACAGGCCACCATGAGACGGCTTTACTGCAAACAGTAATTTGTGGTGACATCCTGAACACGCCCACCCTGCTATGTGTATGAGAAAGACTGTGTGAGAGAGACCAGTAGCCCACCTTATTGAGCATTTTACATAAAACAATAATTGTGCACACCAAACAGTTTTGTAAAAAATAGCAATTTCACCTCTCATTATGGGAATATTACCATACTGAGTGTGTGTATGCAGTTTTACACGTGTGCATATACGTGTGTGCATATGTTAAACTTTTCAGATTCATGCAAAAAGAGCAACACTGAAAACAACCTTTCAACAGTTGCATGGTGCACGGCCATGCATTTCAACATAGACATCCATATGATGGTGGTCGGTAAAAAACGCAAGATTCAAATCAACAAATCACAAGGACAACAAATCCATATGAAACTGTTATTCCAAAGAAAATGTACCATTAAGACAGTTAAGGCACTTTAACCTACTAGAATGAATTCTCATAAGCATATACCAGATGCTGTTATTCAGAACCAATTCATATCATCCTACAGTCCTGTCAACATCTAAGTCAACAACTGAGTCAACAAATCGAGTCAGTGTATCATACTACCTGCTATGTTGAGTAATGACCAAGTAAACGTGAGGCAAGTTTGTGTTCACTGCGTTAGTCACAATAAAAGGGTTAAAGAAGAAAAGAAGACTTTGACATCAGGTTTGGTTTCAAGCCAAAGTGCTCAGCATTGTACAAACATTTAGCTGATAGCTGGAGCTAATTCCCCACACTGTGAGTGGGTTAGGATGGAGAGTACAGCAGCTGGCTGTGAGTAAATCCACCACTGTGGTAAGAGGCCTCCTGAAATGTGGTCAAATAGCAATCACGGACCTCACCATGAGTCACCATCAGATAATAAGGCCTCTGCGTTTGGCTAAGAAGATCTTTGAACTGAGGCTCTGGCATTTCACAGCAGGAATCCTTAAATGGAGTTTCAAGTTCTTTTCACACAGTTAGACAACAAAAACCCTTCAGCTGGCTGCATGAGTGGTTTCTCTGGGATTACCTCACACTATAAAGCCATGTAAAAGGGCAACATGGCATTTTCTTAAAAGGCCTTTGTGTATCCAAATTAAGTTGACTAGATAGATGCTCCTTCTTAGCATAGCCCCGATCCCCTGCTGCTCATTTAATTCATGTACTGTTTGAAGTGCCAGCTCCTTCATTTCTCTTTCCATTAAGTGTCTTGCTTAAGGAAACTTCAACACTTCTCATTCAATTTCCATGTCCTGAAATTCCGTCTACTTAAAATTCAGACCATTAACTGCCCAACAAATAACCAGTTTCCAAACTTCTTGGCTCATGCAACTCACAAGCTAAACCTACTATGCTGACCATACAGCAATACAAAGTGTTAGAATCAATAAAACCCACAAAAGAATAAAACAGCAGCAGAATCCAAAGCAAAGAGGAATGGACACACTGATGAAGAGATTGAATGAGTCAAAGAAGATACAAGGTAAAAAGGGATGGGGAATTGTTGATTTTGTTCAGTCCCCAATGAGCAGTCCGCCTCGCTGCTCATCGTGACCACCACATCACACTCACACCCTCACTTTCTCACATCATCAGCAATAACATTTGCAACATCAGACTGATAAAAAGCGTGAAAAATAATCAAGAAAAACATGCAGATAATGACAGTGAAGCTGATAAATATCTGTATAAATAAATGTAACAGTTAGGATTGCACCATCAGTGTAATTCAGAGTTACTCACAAGATTTCGTCGTTCTGAAATTCCAGGATACCGTGAATGTCTTCAAAGTCCTCTCCGCCACCTCGTGCTGTTCCCTCCACCGTCTTGTACGGCAGCATTACCACGCCGCGAGCCCCCGACGTTCTCAGCACCTTCACCTCCATGGTGCCAACGCTCTCGCTCACATGGCATACAGGCTCCTCAAATGTAAAGATACCGGCATGGTCGTCATCAAAGATGGTAACGGTCGCTGCGGTGGGTAAGCCAAGACACGCCACTGAGTCCACATGATTGGCTGACTCGCCTTCCTCGGGCTCCTCGCCTTCTGATGTCAACACCTTGACATTGGATAGGTGAATCAGGAAGTTTTCATCCTCTTCAAAGATATCATCATCAATGATCCCCACACGGATCTCCTTCATTGTCTCACCAGGCTTGAAGACCACCACGCCCTCAGTGAACTCGTAGTCCGAGCCAGCGTTGGCCGTGCCGTCTTCTGTCCGGTACTCCACAGAGATAGTTTTGCTCACATCGCCACCACGTCGAACCACGTTCACCGCTACTGTGCCGCAGTTCTCAAGGCACTGGTAAGAACCGGGCTCAAAAAATATCTTCGAGATGGGGTCGTTTTCACCAGCATCAGAGCGAACCTCGTGCATGCTGACAGCTTTTCGTGCCTGATCGGCTGCATGTTTCTTTAGGATGTTGCCAGCACCTGTCATCAGCCGGGTAGCCTGGCATCGGTAGAAAGCACGGCTCTTCTGCTGCTGGCTCAGGACTTGGTAATTGGCAAGCTCAATCAGTTGTTCTACCTAGTAAGAGAAAACATGAAGGCACACAAACTGAAAAATGTTTTCTCAAACATGATCCGTGGACATGGCACTTTTTCTAAATTGTTGCTCCACCAAAAATCTAAACACCCAGACAGCTGATGTACTATGTTCTACTGTGGGAAAGAATGCCTTCTTTGTCAACTTGTCTGCTTAAATAAGAGAACACTGTTGAACAACAGCTTGTCTGGCTGAATCACAGTTTCATCTAGCTTGTCTGGAAAAATAAGATTTAATGGTTGTGTCATGTGGATGAATCCAACATTATAAACAGTCAAAGAACAGTGGTCTCACAATGACTTATACTGTTATGTCAACATAAAAAGTGAAATTTCCATCAAACGTATTTTCAGTTACACTGAGGAATATGCATTAGATTGTCTAAGTCTTTGTGAGGTCGTACACAGCTGTACATGCTGTGCCAAATGAAACACAAACAGTCTGGTAATTTCTTAAGTATAGAAGTCCTCCTTCAACGAGAGGATACAGGTCCAAGCTCAGATGACAGCAAGCATCTATCTTGCTTAGATATCCTGGAGAAATGCATTGAATTCCTGGGTCAATTCCAAGGTTTTTCCACTGTTCCTCCTTTCTACCCTTTCCTCACCCCACTACAATTCCTCTACAATGCAGCTGAAGATCAGGTGAATTACTGTTTTCCTGGTTGGAGAAACAACTGAGCTAAGAGCCTTTATAGGTTGAACTGAAGTTGGTGAAGTTAAAGATCTTAAAGTAGTCTTGGTGGAGTTTAATCTGAGCTAGTCTTATTTTAATTAACAAGAGGGGAATACTAAGCATACTCTGCTAAAAGAGTAATCAGGAGCAGTTTCTCTCATCTCCTTTGCTAGTAAGTCTTCCAGCAAAATTGGTGCACCAGTATCAATTTCTGGATCAAAAACAAAATGACGATGAAGTAGGATAATGAAGACCAATTTTGGAGCTTTGGTATTCGACTACTATCAGCTACAGATGTGCTTTTGGTCAGGTCTACAACGACCAATATTGTAGGAGCCCTACCCACAGTACAACATAAAGTAAGACCTGCAATGTCAAAGCACTTGATGTCAAAGAAAACAGCTTGTTTTTGACAAACAAAAAAAGAAAAAACTATTTTAGCAGGCTCTCATGCATGTAAGAAGAGTTGCCATTTCAGCAGCTTGTCTTGGTGCTTGCAGCTTCCATTAAGCTCTTGAGTGTTAAATCTTGTCCAAACAGTAAGAAGAGCACTGAGTAGAACACAGCCCGTCACGCCATATTGATGACTACATCATTTGGCTGTTTTTTCAAATACAGAGGTCTGCTAAAATAGACACAGTGGTTTGAAAAGAAAACTATTAAATGAGGTACTAGATTACTAAAATATCAGCTCAGGTGTAGAATGAAACAATAGTTCTACAATCCTGTCAATCTGTCCAAGTACACTGAAATCTTATAACTGTACTGTACTGTGTATGTAGACACAAGTAAGCAATGTAAGAGACTCTGCCGTATTGTCACAAAAACAAATTCCTGTATGTATGTTTATCTTGCCAGGACAGGCAGCAAGCCAGATAGAATATAAATGATATCAATGTCAGAATTAGATTTGTAATTGTGTTTATTTTTTTATTTACATTGATTTAATGGGTGCTCAGTTTCCTTTGCAATTTTCTTTTTTTAGATGTACCATTATCAAATTAATCTGAGAGGTTGTGAGGAGACCTTGAGCGGCATTCATCACCATAATAACTGTGATAATGGAAGCAAATAGAAAGTGCATCATCTGCTACTGCTTATTTTGTTATTTCATTTCCTATACAATTATACAATACTGAGAAAAACAACCCCAACAGAAGCAGCAATGACAATATGTATGATTTATTGTACTTTTCTTTTGACTTTTTTACCCACCTCCTTGTCAGGGTGTTTCTGTTTGAGCTCCTTCAGGATCTTCGCCATGTCTCTCCGGGTTTCCTCTTCATCCAGATCCTTCTCATCTAGATCCAAACCCAACGGACCATCCAGGAAGTCGACACCATGAGAGTTCAGCATCTTCCCATCCATCTCAATGTCCACCTTTTGGTGGGAAAAAAAGAAGTTTATTGAGTTACACTGACTTGAGTCTTTATAGCAGTATGTCAAAAAGGCAAAAATTTCTGGTGCTATTATGGAGGTTAACTGGGGACTGGGTGTGTACCAAGAACGGCCTTTATAACAACCAAGCAAACAAAGGTAGAAATGTTTAGTTTCTGTGTAAGTCTTATCCCAGTTATTGGTAAATTCCCTGGTTTTGTTAAAACATCACGTAGCGCCCCTCAATCCCAACATGTTTTCTTACTGTTGATGTTTCAAAGTTGTTGACTGTGATCAATCTCAAGAAATTATTTATTATGACTGAAGGGCTTCTTTAGGTTGAAAGAATAGACTGTTTTGTCTGTACTACAGAGTTAAGCTAGAGGATTCAGCTCAGCTTTTGTCAAGAGTTGCCAGATAATTTGAATTAAAAACAACTAACATTAATGTTCACTGTAATACTAGACATATTAGACATGTTAAAATGTTAGCCATTTGTTTCTCTCAGAGTAAATAGGTTGTTCTGTTGTTCGTTGAAAGCCTGTTTTCTTTTGAGTACAGTTTTATTGAAGAAATGTCTTTTGGCTCGTTAAACAAGACATTTAGAACTTCTAAATGATTAGGCTTTTCCCTCAGGGATATAGTTGGGTTTGATTCAGTGATTTATTTTAGCCAGAAGTTTAACTGAAAGTGCTCTTTGTGTACTAATGGAGCACTGACTCTTAATAATCTCATCAAAGAAATTAGAGAAATAATAATACATGTTAGAGACACTCTAAATTAACTGAGTGGTGAATAAATGTACCCAACACCATAATATTGAGAATGTAATTAGATATGTGCAATGCACTGCATGGGACATCACACAAAGCATCAGATAGTAGTCAAAGCAGGAAATTAAAATGTGACAATACTAAAGTATTTGTGCGTGTAATATGCTTCATGGCATGGGTTTACCTTGGCAGAATTCCATTCAGTAATACAGATAATTGTTTCAGATACACGTTACTCATGAACTCACTTCCGCCTACATCGAGTGCCTTATCTGCTCCTTTGTTTTTTTCCACCGCATGTTTGGATGAGGACTGCTTAATTAATTTGTACTGGTTGGCTGTACTCTAACTGACTGCCTTTGGAAAGTAGAGAGCCCACAGCATGACTGTTAGATTCTTTATAAGACTCTGATGAAGGAATTTTAGCTTCTGAAATTCAACACTTTTTTGGTGAAGATAAGATAGTATAGAATTTTTCTTGTTGACAAAATACTGACTGTTGTCAGGAAATACCTGCTAAGCATGGTAGATAAGCAGAATTGAAATGAGATGTCCCAGAAGTGGTATTGGTACTAGATGTAGTAGTAAAGCTTGTTATTGTAATCTCCACAACATCTGATGATGGTGGGTGAAGTAGAAGTTGTAGTGGTAACGGGAGTGGTAGTAGCATATGTTTTAAATGATACCAGTATAATATATGTCATGATGCAGTTGTTCTATTGTACATTGTTGAATAAGAATGAATATGTCCATAATTTCTGTTGGTTATGAAAACATTGCACTAACCAAAGTGATTGGTAAGATCTGGGAAAATGTCAAAGTCACTACTACGAAGTCTGACGAGAGATTCAGATTCAGATTTTGAGGCAACAACAGTTTAGGTAATATTTATACAGTGGGAATTTGCTTTCTCTTCCAAATAAGTTTGCCTTACTTGGGGATTTGTTTAAAAACTGTCTGATTTGTGTTTCTTACCCAGTGTGACTGCATTTTTTGGATCTTACTGCATTTCTAGATCTCAGCAACTGAATTGGTGAATACAATGTTTTTATTACCAATAGCTAAAACCACACAAATAATACCAAAGTTTTAATTCTCCAGAGAGCCATAGCAGTAGTGGTAATTCCTCTGAACAAACCTTGGAAGGAAGCGGACGGTCTCCCTCGGTCTCGATGATCATGCCACGCTGCTTGCCAGTGCGGTAGCGCTTGTACACATACTTGTAGAACAGCAGGCGGCGGTCGGCCACCCAGGCGAACACCACACAGATGGGGAAGAAGAGGAACGTGAGCAGCCCCTCCCACACTTGGACAACACCAGGTGAGATCACGGACAGGATCAGGTAGAGCCAAATGTAGGCGAAGATACTCCAGGTGGCTGTGACGAAAAAGACGCGGAGGTGCTTGACCTTCCTGGTCTCGCCGTCGGGCACGACGTACACACAAATTCCGATGATGACAAACATGTTGAACGCAGCAGAGCCCACAATGGTGGAGGGGCCCAGCGTGCCAGCCTCGAACCCATGACCTATGACTTCTATGACGGACAGTAGGATCTCGGGAGCCGAAGAGCCCAGAGCCATGAGGGTTAGGTTGGAGACGGTCTCGTTCCAGATCCGAACAGTGGTGGTTGTGGTTTCCCCATTAGGTTTCTTGATGGTGATCTCCTTTTCCTGTGATGTGATTACCTCTATTGATGCCATGAAACGGTCTGCGATGATCGACACACCTAGGAACATGTAGACCAGAGCCACAAAGTAAACTGTGGCCCGGGCCACCTTGTCACCAAATGACGGGTTTCGGGGCTCCCAAATAGGTAAGACCACCCCCTTTGCGCACGCTTCAGGCTTGCTGCATTCAGTTTTATTTGTGGACACCGCCGAAACGGAGCCACCCAAGCTCTGCTCAGGTGGAGCCCCAGCCAATGAGGGATGGAGCTTGAGGAGGAGAATCACTGTGATGACTGCTAACCTCAGGCCAGGGGACAAGAGGGATGAGTGATCCCAGCGGCCCATTTTGATGTCCAGACCAGTACTGCGCGTTGACAGTTAATGAAGTTGTTGAACCTAGAGAGAAAAGAGGAGAAAGAATTCAGATTAGACCATCAAAGACCTGATGAATGTGGGGAATATTTAGGTTTGATACTCTCCTTTAATTTGAATTTTCACTGCAGTTACATATAGTTAGCCAGAGTATATGAAGGCGTTTGGGATTATCTTGCTACAGGTCTAATGGTAGATATGACTATAGAGAATTTTACAATATCATTTTAGTACCTCATGATGGATGGTAAAAAAAATAGATCTCACTTCTACAGCAAGTAACCAACTTTCATCTCATCTCTCTTTCATCTCAAACATGAAGATGTAACAGACACGATTATGTGTTGTAGCAAAAGAAAAAAAAAATGTTATTATAACAACTTTGTTTAGAAGCTGTGTGGTTAACTTTGGTTTATATATTTATAATTCCCAGTAAACACTGAAGCAGTGAAAGGTCAAACCTGCATCTGTCTGAAAAAACACAGCTGACACTCTCACGTCACCTCTGAGAACTTATGAGCGCTTTGGTTACTCACTAAACAACACGTTTTACAAAAATGTAAAAACAAACAGCCCAAGCTCAAGTTCACATTGAGGCCTGACGAAACTGAAAAGCACAACATCACAAAAACAAAAACATGTGTTTCAGGTAAGATGTTTTGCTTAGCTGTTTAGGGGCAGCAAGTTCAAATAACCACGCCAAAGGTAAACCAAGGAGCAGCTTCTGAAATCTTACAGCTACACTACCCTGCTGTTCCTCACCCAACCTGTCCCGGAGGGACTTTCTCTGTTAATTATTGTGATTTCAGATGTTTGCCCTATGGCTTATTATTATGTCAACTAGTGAAACCACTATGGAGGCGTTCACATCAAGGAATACGGGGAATCAGAGCACACTTGACCCCAAAATCCAGTTTGTTTGATTAGTCTCAACACTGAGTACCCGGGCACATATCAACAAACCATGCCAGGGTCCACTTGACATTACACTCAGGCAAAGTACGGAGCATTTGTACCTAATATGTAAACGCCCTATAACACTTAATGGCTGTCACTTTTCCCTCGATATCTACAAAAAAAAATCTAAAATCAAACAATAAATACATGACAACCTGCGACCACTAATAACTGTTTTAAGAGCATTTAGAGTGCAATGAGGATAATTTTACCTTAAATAGGCCAGTCTCAAAGAAACCACCAAATCCCAACACTGACACTTCAAATTAGACATTAAGTTTCCATTTGATTGCTTCCACACAAACATAAAATGGGCAAAATTGAATGTAGAAAAAACATAATTAGCTTAGAATCAATTTCAATGAAGAAAACATGTCCCTGTAGCCCAATGTATATTCAGCGCAGTTACAACATATAACAAGTTTATTGTCCATTGTTGGGTCATTTCCCATAGGGAGAATAATCCATCAATACCAAATTTGTATGGTTATGAGACCATGCAGAACTCACATATTTGTCTAACCGTATTTTGCTCCATGTATGAAGGTATACAAGTATATGCATTGAGGCAGCTTACACATATTTGCTGTTGTAAATTAGTGGTATACAAACTTAACTAGGATACAGGGTTGCCTGGTAGTTTAGTGTGTATGAGTCAGGAAACCCCTGCCTGAGAACCACTGGCTGCATTGTGGTTCATAGGGGACCAACATAACTGGGAGCCTGGCCATGCAATATACTCTACCTAAAAAGTTACCAGCACAAATTTTAAATCAATTCCATGCTGCACAGGGAGCCAATGTGCATAGGTGGTCTTAAAAAGGAGAAAGGAAGCAGACGAAGGGAAAGGGATGTGGGTGATTCCACATTTAAGCATTTTTTTTAAGACACACACATCCTTCCCCTGAGGTTTTATGGGATAAAAAGTAAAATGCAAATACTCCTTTCAGTGCTGCCACGCTTAAGAGAATAACAACGTCCAAACAGATTTTGAATGTGTGTGCCCATGTATTCTCTATGGAGCTGATACGCCTACAAGCAATGAAGAAAATGGAGGACTGCATGTTGATTTTAACACAATGTGGTACAGCATGGTTTTGTATGGAATGTTGGAGCTAGGTAAACTAGGTAGCTAGTTGGAGCTAGGTAAATCTTGCAACTTGAGATACATTTCAAATACCTGCTTTGTGGTGTACAGTACAAAATGTGTGCATGAACACGTCCTAGCTGCACATGGAACTTTCATCTCATATTTGATGCCATGGTGCTCATATCAACGAGTGGCAAAGAGGCATGCTGGGAAAGCAAAGTTGGGAATAACTTTTAAGAAGGACCAGTGCATTCCAATAATGCAGTGCCCCCCTCTCTGAGAATGTCCACTGTTTCTTGCCCCTCACCACCGAAGCAGAGTGTTGCTGAGACCATCCAAAAAGGATGTCTGGACCATCCTCTCATCCCGCTGTTTAAAGGCGTTGCCTCAGAAGCCTGGGGCGCTCTGCCCCGGGCTGCAGCGCTGGAGGTGTGTCTTTGAGAAGACAAGTTGCTGTGAGAGGGACCAGGGTCTTGGCGAGGCTCCTGCCGTAGAGAGCAAGCCCTACGAGGCATGATGTTTTGCAAGGAAACCGACTCCTTGTGCTACCATTTAACTTTTGGTGGGATGGGCTTATCGGAGTCATACACGGCAGCAGAGAGAGAGGTGGAAGGTTTTGCATTGTGTAAGACTGACACATAGCTAGTGTAGCCTGGCATGATATCAGTGCAGCAGTTTGGTTTCCAGGTAGCAGACAGCAAGAACAGCTCTATAAGAAGAGCATTGTAACAGCAATGATCTTATGATTGGCAACATCCATGTTTATGTCGGAGAAACTATCTACCTTTCCTAGAAAGAACCCCCAAAGTGTTTTATATTCCAATTGGACAAACAATACAGAATGACTTCATCTGTATCTGTCTTGCCAACGCACATGATTGTTCCCTCTTTACTAACCCTCACATCTGTAGTTACACAGGAACAAACTTTTACCACTTTGTAAAACTTTTTGTGAAAGCACTGCTGCACCTAAGTAGCAATCCTTTTAATCAGTGATCAATAACAAGATCCAAGACCTGAAACAAAGATCAGCTTAGAATTATCCTCAAACAAGCTTCTCCCACATGCCAACATCCATTTCCAGATAATTAACTGTTCACACTCTTACATGCAGACACAGCACAATTCACCCAACAACAATAGTTACATCAGTACTTTCCTGCTTTTCTTTCTACCATAATACTCATTATAGATGAAGCTGTAAATCCCCTAACAATATGAATCGTACTTTCTCTCACATTACATGCAGCGTAGCTCGGGAGCCGTAGGGCCTGGACACTTAATGAACAACACAGAATCCATTTCCACAGGGGTTGTAATCAATGTGTAAATGTTCATTCAAGATATTGTACATACTGTAGAAGGTAAGTGTGTGTGCCTTGCCTAATGTTGTTGCCAGCCACTTGGTTCATAAATCAGTTAGTGTGTAATGCATAATCAGTCCACCAATGGTGAATTTAAATATTTATTATATATATATTATATATTGAATAAACCAAATGTGACGAGTGTTCAGTTTGACTGCTGTGTTGATGTATACTGAGTGGGCTCAGCTGTGGTGTGTGGAGTTTTTCTCAGGTGTTGAGAAAATCAATCCCAACAAAATTACACGTCTATTTAATTAAACTTTTCAATTCTGTAAGCTTATAACAAAACATTTTCCTCCTGGCTAATGTGATCCAGCAGCTCTTTGCCTTCTACGGCCTTCTTGTGTGGCCACACCAGGCTTTGTGTGCCATTTTAGGTGATCAATAATTCAGTGTGCTTTGGGATTTGGTTGTTTTCACTTAAGGATGTCATTTTTCTAGCAGGCTGATGGCTAAAGAGCATGTTCTCTATGCCAGCTGTTCTGTAGATAATAGTGTGTGTTTTCTATTACTTCTCTACACCAGTGAGGCCAATTATATCTTGAGAATAGAAACTGTTGGATCAGTAAATATAATACTTCAAGGCAAGCTTTCTCAACGGGTGGGTCGTGACCCAAAAGTGGGTCGAGGACTCACTCGGAGAGTGTGTTTTTTTTAGCTTAGCGACCTATTGTCTGACTTTCATTTTGAGGTTCCACAAATGTCTGTTAAGTGAGGAAAGTTATGCAGTTAAGTTCAATAAATAAATTTTATTTATAACACATTTATATAAGAATCAGTAGAACATACCTGATGTTCATACTCATGTTTGTTATTAGAGGAATATGCTCTGATTGCAAGAAAACAAATATGTGGATATGTTGAAAAAGGCCATGATTTTTACATACATATCTAAAAAATAAATTTGCTAAATTTTTCTATAAAAGTGGGTAGGGACTTATTGACCATGGGGAAATGTGGGTCTCAAGGTCAGACCAGCTGAGATCCACTGTCCCTCAATGAAAGAGTAACTTGTATAAAACCCAACATCCTTCAAGTTAAATGTCAGAGGTAATACAATTCAAAGATGACTTGTAACTGCCATCCTTGCTGCTAACATCAACACCCATATGTCTTTATATCAAAGAGAAAACCATATTAAAAGCCAAGTCTAATAGACTGACCACAGGTGGGGAAAGCTGTGAGATTAAAACTCACATTTTAAGTTATTTTGGTGTGTCAGCACTTCCAAACAGCAGCAAATATTAAAAAAAGCACATGAAGGTAGTTGGTTTAAACACTCTCAAAACCATTCATGGTGACTGCTAAATGTTTTTTTCACCACAGGTGAAAACAGTCAAATTATTAAATATAGTGAATATGCAGCATGACTATTAAAGTCTTGAAGGAACAGTTTTGGGAAATACACATTTGTTTTCTTGCTAAGAGTAAGATAAGAGGATTGACACCACTGTTTTCTCTGTTCATTAGATATTAAGCTGGTTAGCTTATCTGCCTACCAGCACCTCTAAAGCTCACCAATTAACATATAAATTGTACATTACTATTTAATGTGGAAGGTCTTGAACTTTGGGTACTGTGCGGTAAAGGAACTCTCTCAAGAAGTACAC